TCTCACTTCAGTGACAGACTTCCCTAAGAGCCAGTAGTAGCAGCACACTCATAAATCCCGCCCACAGGCTGCGCCACACTGCTGCTTTTAGCAGAGAGAGACGAGAGAGAGAGTGAGACGAGGCAGCTGCACGGAGTGATCTTCAAACTCCACATTAAATAATCCATTTAGAGATAAAAGTGTTTGGATGCAACAGAAAGATAGGGTTTCTGTGCTGATGCTATAACATGAAGAAGCTGCTTTTGGATAAACGGGACCTGAACTCATTGAGAACTGATATTTTCATTATTTTTCCTCTGGATTCACGATTGAAGGACATTAACTTTGAACTCGAACTGTTTCAAAAGAATCAACGGTTCTTTGAACTGAATCATTTGTTTCATAGGCTGCGTTCCACTCCACTTTTAGACACGCACTCGTGAACTTCCCTAAGCACTTCCCCTCGGGGGAATCCCCGCTGCCATTTTGAAGTGCGTTCCACTTCGTGAAGTGGACGAGGGAAGTTTATATGGACAGACCCTCGACCCCTCGATTTTGACCGAGGGAGCGAGTCTGCTTCATATGCACACTTCAGGCCGCTCCATAGACCACAATGCAACACGATTGTGACGTCATGGCAGATTGTGTTTAATTTATCCCCACCCCAAACAACTCTATAATATATGAATGATTTTTTAAACATTTATAACAGCCCAAACATACCTATATACATATAGAATGTTGCACCAAACAAATTCATAAGGGGAAAAATGTAAACAATAAACCAACTCCATAGCTGATTCTAAGTGATCAAAGGCTTAGGACGTTCCAGTTCAGCCCATTCCAAGGGTTCCGCCAGAAGTGGGCACTCATGCAACGTAATCAATGACGTACATCCGAGTAAACGAGACGGAGGGAAGTTTGCGAGTGAAGGGCATAAAAAAACGGACTGGAACGCAGCCATAGACTCGGGTTATTGAACCAATTCACTGATTCTTGAATCTTCATTGAGTGTTCACATAGCTGAAAAGTATGGTATGGGATTACCTTTGTGCCATTTAAAATGAATGTAATTTTTCAAGAAACTTATGAAAATATAAATTGAAACTGAATAAAATGTCTTTGAAACTGAAAAAAAATAAATTGCAGGCAAAATCTTTGACTTCGTTTTTAATACACTGCATGCTTTGCAATGGTTTTCTCCTCTTTCATTCGCTGATCTGTACTTACAAATGTGCTTCCAGAGTTTTCATTTACGCTTCTGAAGTTTTCGTTTACGCTTCTGAAGTTTTCATTTACGCTTCTTAAGTTTTCGTTCGCCATTCTGGCACAAATCTCTCATGGGGGTGGGGCTAGCAGCGGTGTGTTCTCATTGGCTACTGAGTTTTTGATTGACAGCTTCTTGACCTGGAAGTGAAGGCGTCAATGTTGCCTTGCCAGTGTGGATGTGAGCGTCTGTTAGCGGCTTCCAATTTCATTTTAGTGATATAAAGTTAGGAGTTTTGTTTTTGAATTCAATCTGTATTTATCTGTTGCTACTACTCTGTCCACATAAGCTTTTAGGAGCGCGAGGAATCAAATGCGAGAGAAAAAGAAAGTCATATTGAGGTTTAATTATTAAAGTACTGTATATAATACTGGAAATATTGTATAATGTCCAATGTTCTTGTAGGATATTTGTTTATTGCTCATGATTCTTTTGCATTGTAGGGTCTAATTAGGTTATGCGGTTACATTTTAAATACTATCATATATGTGTGATATATTTCATACGTCAAAAAAGTCTCTCTTCAAGCTCATTTTATTACATATTCCACACAAAGAATGTTCTTGCAGCCAATTGTTTTTATCATGCTGATAATTTTATTTAGTTAACATTATCATCTAACGTTTAAAGTTGGAAATACATTTTAACAATCATCAACTCTTTCAAGTGTGACTTTTATAAACCAGTTTTAATGAATGTAAATGAAAATATGAATTAGTTCAAATAAATGTACATTCTTTATTGTCACTATAGCATATACAGAAGTATCAAAGTGAAAGTCTTGGATGCAATTATGTTGTGACAGGAAAGACCAGAATCCACGAAACACTAACTGCATAGTATACATGTAATGCACAGTATTCTCATAATTTACATTACTACACAAAATGCACAAGAACATAATATACAGAATATGTTCACAATTCATAATATGTTTTAAACTGCAATGATCCTTTCAACAGTTCCTGTTAAGTTACAAAACAGTGAATGTGTATGTTATGTAATGGAGTGCAATATCAGTCTTTACAGGAATATTCCACCCCAAAAAATGAAAATTCTCTAATTTACTCACCTTCATGCCATTCCAGATGTATATGACTTTCTTTCTTGACATAAACACAAAGATTTTTAAGAAAATAATCCATCTCTGAGAATCCACATAACACAAGTGAATTGTAACCCATGCACGTATGACAGTTGATCGGAAGTGATTGTTAATAGTCAAAAGTTTAAATTATTAGTGTTTTTCTTATCTGTTGTTTCACTTCAAAAGATACTGATTCAACCATTAAGGTCAGATGGATTACTGTCACGGTAGCTGTGTGTGGTTTTTAAAGCATCTTTAGGACTCACAGAGATGGATTATTTGCCTAAAAATCTTAATTTGTGTTTACCTGTCCAGTCGAAAGAAAGTAATATGCATTTGGGACAGCATGAGGGTGAGTAAAAGATGAGAGAATTTTTATTTTTGAGTGAACTATCCCCTTAACAATCATATGCTGTTGGTATGCTAATCCAAGATCAGCATAGACTAATACGAATAAAGTGCAACCTCTTGTGTACTTGTGAACTGTGTTTGTTTTAATCTAGAGCTCCAAAGAAATTAAAATATTTGCATAATATCAGGTGTCTGAAGATCAAGATCCCAGTCATCAAGGTGAGGTGTCTGAACAAAGTAAGAATCTTGTCTGATGGGGGCAATGGATCTCTGGTACTACCACTACATCCTCTGGGTCAGCAGCAGAAGTGTGTTTATGGAAAAGTTGCTCCGCTCCCTGGAAATTGAGAAAGGACATGTATTATAGTCTAACAATACAAACTGCTTTGAACTCCCATTAAACATTTCAAACTTAAAATATTTCAAACAAATAAACACACAATATAATTATTTAATATATATATATTTATATAAGTTATATATATTAGTATTAACTTAGTACTAAATACCTCAAAATTATGCACCATTTATCATCTGTAATACCCTTGTGTAACCGTTAGATGGCTGTATAGCCCTATATATCCATGACTGTGTATACCCTAGTTACTGGAAACTATTTTCAGTCATAATTATTTGCATGTATTAGGATTTGCCCGAAATACCCCGAAATATTCATCTGAAGTGACCATTTTTGCATTATTATTACAGTCAAATCTGGACACAGAAAAAGCATGGTAAAAAGGCTTTACATTGCTAAAGTTGACAGTGCAGTGATTGACAGCGCGCTTGTAAAATGGCATCGGTCATTGTCAGATACAGTACATTTAGTACTGTACATTATGTGCTGGGGGAAAATATGAACTAATCGAAGCAAATATGATCCAATTGAAGACTGTAACTGTATGTAGATAACCAGGTCCTGTAATGATTGGGCTAAATCAAGAAAACTTACCGCAAG